GTGTGTGTAACGCTGGTTCTCTCTTTAAATGGTCTCACCAGATGTGGTTAGTCGGGCCTCCTGAGACGTGGGCTGAACTTTCCTTAAAGGTCTAGATTTATCATCTGCTCCAACAGGCCAAATTCCAGTATCACCTGGCGTCCGCACCTCCTCGCTGGGGAAGAGGGGGGCCTGAGAACCCCAAGGTCGGCAGTGCGTTAGGGCCGCCCTCAGCGCCTGTCCCCACTGTGGCCGCAGTGCCTGGGGAAACTGGGGTGGAGTCCTTGACCCGCTGGGCAAGGCATGGCGTCAGTTTCCCCACGTGCAAAACGGGGGCATTGGGTTTCTCCACCTCCCAGGGCCCTTCCAGCAAAGCCATTCTAGAATTCCAGGTATAATTTAGCCCAGGGAGAGTCTACACCAGCAGGGGCCTGACAGGTGACGTGGAAGACAAAAGGAGCCAGGTGGGAGAAAACAGCTCCCCCCCCCACTGGCACCTGGCAGTCACCCTCGGGCCCGGGAGGCAACAGGGAGCCATGGGGCCTGCAGCTAGTGCCCCGTCTCATCAGCTCCAGGTGAGTGCTGCCTTCGCCTAGGACCGCTGTTACTTCAGTAAAACCTCCTAATTTTTTTCGAAGCTGGGCAAAGCGAACCAGTCTGCGAGCCACACACAGTCCTCAGGAGGGACCAGTTTGCGGCCACCAGCCTCAGCTACCTGGAACAGTCCTCTTCGACTTGTCCAGGCTGGAGACTCCACAGCCAGCATTCTGTCGCTCCGACTGCCAGAAGGCTCTTGCCCACGTCCAACTAAAACTTCTCCTGCTTCCAATCCTTCTTTTTGTGTGGGTGGAGGTATGAGTGAGAACTGGCTCTTTATTAAAAAAAAAAACTTTCAGAAACGAAAAAACATTCCAGTTGCTGCAAACTGAGAAGCAAGCAGCTATTCAAGCCCAGCTCTGTCACGCGTCACTGGTGTAACCTCGAGCAGGTCGCTGTCCCTCTCTGAGCCTGAGTTCTGTGTTTGTTCCTCTCGCTCCTGCCCCTCTGCCCCCCGCCCCCACCCCCCGCCAGGGTTCCCCGTGTCTCACCCAGGCTGCGTGCTAATAACAATCACAACCGCAGAGCTGCTTCTGACCGAGCAAGACTTCTACGTCAAGACTTACGCTAAACACGTTCCATATGTTGTGTGATTTCATCTTCCCAACAAGTCTCCTGAATGGGTGTTTTTATCCTCATTTTACAGGTTAAGAAACTGAGCCCAAGGTGCTACCGTCAGTAAGTGGTGGAGCTGGGGTGTGAACCTGTGCAGATACCTATCAGGTCTGCTGCCTCTTCCCCAGGCTCCCAGGCTCCCCCTGGGCCGCCACAGTGGGCTGTGGGACCCTCCACTGTTCAGCCACCTTGAGTGGCTCCCCATCGCCATAGCAACTCAGCCTGGCCATCGTGGCCCATCAGCCTACCCCTCCTTCTTCCTCTAACACACTGGACACTCCAGCCGGGCGCTGCCCAGCCACCCACACGCTGCACCGCTGAGTTCCCCTTGCTACTCACAGATCCGTACCTACTGTTTACTTACTGTTGTTTATTATTTACTTCACATTTAACTTTCTGTCAATTCATTTTCAACTCAAACAACTGCATTTGTGTTTACTATCATGTGTGTTCTGCTTAGACTATCTCCTAACACGCTGTAAAACAAGATGAAAAGCTGTACAATACAAAACGTTCTTCTAAGGGCCTGCTAAAGTCTCACCTCCGAGGTGTCATGCCGAGTGAAGTAAGTCAGACAGAGAAAGACAAATACTGTATGATTTCACTTAAGAACAAGCAAAACAGCTCTGCGCCAGAGAACAAAATAAACAAACAAACAAAATAGGAACAGACTCCTCAATGCAGAGAACACGATGCTGGCTGCCAGATGGGAAGGGGGCTGGGTGGGGAAGGTGAAGGGATTAAGCGGTGCAGATCGGTAGTTACAGAACAGTCCCGGGGATGGAACGCACGGCGTAGGGAACGCAGTCGGTAATACTGTGATAACTGCGTGCGGGCCCAGGCGGGCACTGGGAATACCGAGCGGAACACTTTGTCAAGTACACGACTGACTGTCTAACCATGACGCTGTATACCTGAAACAAATACAAAATAATCTTGAACGCAAACTATAATGGAAAAATAAAGTTAAAGTAAACGGCATGCAGAAAATAAGCAATACAATAAAGTCTGCCTTCCGAGGACCCCTGGTGGAAGCCCCACCTTGGAAGGCACTGTGTCACCCCTCCACCCCCCCAGAACAGGTGAGCTCCCTCCCACACTTCAGAGCCCTGTTCCACCTGCATCTCTTCTCTTCTCATGACACCTGGGCTTCCAGGAGAAGGCATGGAGGTCCGCTGCCCATCACACAGCCCAGAATTGTCAGGGGGTGGCTTGCCACCCAGGGCTTCCACAGCTCTCCCCCAGGTCCTTACACAGGGCCTGGCACACAGCAGGCACTCTCAGGGGCCTGCCACGGAGCAGGTATAACACCTTGGCAGTGCTGAGTGAACTGCATTGGGTCCAACCAGTTTCTCTCAAAGTGTGGGAGAGGATCACAGGTGGCCCGAGATTTGGGGAGGACATGAAGTCCACGTGAAACCACAGTAAAGAAGTTTTCCCCATTCTTTTCTGGTCCTCTTGATGACACTGAAGAGAAGGCCTCAGTTCATTGACAGTATGTCTCAAACACCTCTCAACACTTGGTCATTACTCCTTTCAGCGCAAAGAGAGCAGTGCTCGGGGTTGGAGTCGTGCACAGCCAACCTCGCCCAGCCAGGATTTGATAACATGGATTCGCCCGGTTGTATATATTTTCACATATTACTTTCTGTTGGTGACAAGCAATACTGATTTTATGTGGTCATGATATAAAATTCCCCGTTTAAATATATGTTTACATTTATAAAGTTTATGTACCTGAAAATATGAAGTAAGTAATAAGTAGTAGAATTTATTATTTCCTATAGCCAGTAAGCGGATGTGCAAAAATTGTTCTGATGATACTGGAATTATGGAAATCGGGGACTGGGTATACCCTAAGACCCTTCATCATAAGAGACTCCGATCCAGGGGCTGCCTCAGAACACTAGAGAGCCATTAATCCAATCGTCCCCCCAAAATAACACCTGTGGCAGGTTCTTGAAGGAGAGATATGTGGCTAGAGTGACAGTCAGAAAACTGGGAGAGGCTTTCCTAAGGAGGTGACATTTGGTTAGAGATGCACAGGACAACTAGAATGCGTTAGGGAAAAGGGCTCCACCCAGCAGCACAGCATGTGCAAAGGCCCTGTGGCAGGAGGAGACATGGAACATCAGAGCCTCTGAACCAAAGTCAGAGGGTCTGGAGTACAGACGTGAGGCCAGAGGGGTGGGCAAGGGACAGCCCTTAATACTCAAAGACCATGGTAGGAGGGAACTCTGTCTATCACTCCCATTCAGCAAAGAGTTGCTTATTCTTTGAGAGGGCCACCCAGTGCCTGACCCCTGATCTCAGGGTCTAGGGCTCAGCAAGGAGTTTCTGGATTCTCAAAATAATAGCTAAGTTAGGTCCAAAACCAGGCAAGGTGTGGCAAGCCTCTTGACAACTGAGTGCAGGTTTGGAATTCATGCTGTTCTCACTCTGACACCCTGGTAGGGTAACCTCGGCAGCCACTTAAGCTCCCGGATCCTCAGGTCCCCGTCCGTGGGGTGGGAATACCAGCGGGCGCACTCAGAGTTGCTGGGAGTTACACCAGCTCCCACAGGTGAATTGCCTGGGGCAGGGTCTCGCGGTGGTGCGAGGTGAACAACATTGGCTCACCACGATTATTTTCAATAGCTCTAACAGCCACAGGTGCATGCACCTGCCCTGCTGGGGTGCGAATTTAGGAGCCTGGTGTGCAGTACATCTGTGGGGTGTACGCGGGTGTGTGTCCATGTTTCAGCAGTGTGGGAGGGCAGGTGGACAAGGCTTGCGTGTGTGAGAGGGCACGTGTGTTCAGCCGTGGGAACCAGCAGGATTCCCATGCTGTGTGTGTGTATGTGTGTGTGTGTGTGTGTGTGTGTGTGTACGCTCCTCTGGAAAGAATTCTTCCGTGTGTGGACATGCACAGAGTGAAAACCCACACAAGTTCAACCTGGAAGAGCACAGTCGCAGGGTTAAACCCTGGCCTGTCTTCACGGCCCTTTTCCCAGTTCCCACCACTCCCGTGGATCTGTGTGAATCTGCGTGGGGGCCCTGCGCCCGTCTGGAGCTGGGCCCGGATTCTCTTAAAACAGGCTCTCTTTCATTCTTATACACACACACACTCACACACACACACGTGCGCCTGACCAACCTTGAGGTTCCAGCCCAGGAAGTCGAGGTAGGAGGGTGTTGCCTCCCTCTCCCCCTCCCCCTCCCCTAGGCCTACCTCTCACCCAGTTTCCATGGGAGCACCTCAGCTCAGGGCAATGTGCATATCTGACTTTCCTGCCATAAGTCTAAACCAGCAAAACCACCCCAAATTTAGGTGAGCAACTTCCTCCTCTCTGCTCCTCACCCTTCACCCTCCTTGCCCTGCACTGCCTGACGGCTCTAGGATAGGGAGGGGGGGCTTAGACCCCCATCCCCATCTGAGCCCTGTGTGGGGACAGGGGGCATACCTGAGCTCAACCACACGTCTAAATGCAACACCACTCCAAGTCTGGCCCAAGGCCCCAGAGCTAGGATTCCAGCTCCGATCTGGGCCGTAGGACGGGGCAATGTTGAACTTTACAAGTCTTACTCATCCACTTTGCAGATGGAGCGACGGAGGCCCGGAATGCAGAGGGGCGTCGCCCAGAGATGGGTCTCTGCACCTCCCGACTGCCCCTCCCCTCCTGGTAGGGGGGCAGGCAGTTCCGCACAGAGCCCTGGCGAGGCTCTGAGGGCTGTCTCAGCATAAAAGTCGCGGTTTGCGCTCCACACCCCCTCTAGGCTCCCTCCAAAAGAAGACAGAGGGAGGTGGTCCAGGCTTTGGCAGGCGTTACCATGGTTACGGGCTACAAGCCGCAGCGGCAGGTCCTCTCTGGGCGTCGGGTCAGTTCTTCTGCGGGTCCGTCTGTCCCGTGCAGCCCCTTCCCAGCTTAGCACTGAAGCGGGCTGGCCTGGAGCGGCGACCCCAGCCTCATCTCCGAGGGGAGGCTGGAGAGACAGACAAACAGGGGGAGGAGGTGCCCGAGAGACGGGTGAAACTGAGACAGTGAGAGACAAGGCAGAGACGCGGCGGCGCGGCCCGGCCACCAACTAGGGGCGGCCGCAGGGGCGGGGCGGGGCGGGGGCTACCCGAGGCCCCGCCCGTGAGGCCCCGCCCGTGTCTGCGCGCTGCTCCCCGCGTGGGCCGGGTGGCGCGACAGCGGCCTTGTGTGCGCCGGCGCCTCGTCCCCCGCCCCGAACGCCGCGCGGGTGATGAGAACCAGGCGCCCCCCTCCCAGCTCCAGGCCTCGAAGGCTGCCAAGGGGAGCTGGAGCCGGCCCTGCGGCCTCGTCCTACCCGCCCCTCCTCTTCTCACGGAGCTCTCAGCTCCGCCTCGCAGCGCCGCCGCCCCAACAGCCCCCACTTGCAGAAGCTTCTTTCCAGTGGACGGTTTGGGACGGTCACGAACTGTCTTGAGCCTTAGTCTCCGCATCTGTAAAATGGGGTTGATGATGATATGGTGTTGATGATGGTGATGATGAAGGCAATGCCTGCCCCTTAGATTCGGTGGTGAGGTGTGTCTTGTGTCTCCGAGATAATGACCCCCTTTGTGACCCTGGCCCAGCCATTGTTCCCCAGCGTTGGAGGGAGTCTAGAAACCAGATGATCTCTGATTGGGTGACTCTGGGATCCATCCACTCATTTATCAAACTTGGTGCCAAGCTGGGAGCCAGAACAAGTCTAAGTCTCTGCCCTCAGATCCTGCACAATCTTTGGGGACAGATGGGCCAGAAAACTTACAGAAAGAAAAAAAAATAACTAAATGTGGTAACTGTTAAGGAAACAGAAAAATGTGGACTTTGGAAACTAAGGAGGTCAACCTAGGGCTGGTGGTCTCAGCAGGGCAGCGAATCCTAGATTGGGAAGAGGGAAAGGAAAGGGGTGCAGGGTTGGGGAGGAGTGTGTGGGGAGAAACAGAGTTCTGGGCAGAAGGCGCAGCATGCGCAAAGGCCCTGAGGTAGTATTAAGCTTAAAGAAACTGGGAGAAAGCAAAGAACTAGAAAAGGAAGATTGCAGCGGCAAGGGTCTAAATTCAAAACCCAAGGCTTATTATTCAAAGGCCGTCTCCCACTGCACACGGGCCAATCAGCCTTTTCGCAGAGAGAACCTGAGCTAAGAGCCAGTCTGCCTTGCTGTGCAACTTTTAACAAGTCCCTTCATCTCCCTGGACCTCCGTGTGCCTGTTGTTAATTTGGGACTAATAATCCCAACAGTTTGCTATGCCGTACAGCCCAGAGGATCCCTCCGTTCTATTTACTGAGCAATCCCATGAACCTTCTCCGGCCTGCAGGTTCGGGTATTACTATTCCAGACATGAGTTTGGGAGGAAACAGGCTTGCTGATTGATGTCAGGTGCGGAATTCCACTGAGAGCTGGGAGGGGGGGCGGTAGCTCGGAGGTTATGAAGCCGCAGCTTTGCAGTGAGACAGAGCTGACATGACAGCTAGTGTTCTGGGTCTGCAGGCGGCAGAGAGCGAGTCTGAGATAGTTAAGCAGGTAAACAGTGGACTGGGTGGGCACCCGCTGCTCACAGAGTCCACGAGAAGGCTGGGGGTCTGTTCTCCGGACAGTGCAGGAGCAGGCAACATGCCCCAGGGGTCTCCTCGGCAGGAATGAATTGTAAACCTCTCACGACTGACGGAATTACATGTAGACAGAGAGACACACCAAGGTAGAACTTTCTAGGTGTCAAGTACATCTCTAAGTGTATAAATTATGAGTTAAATTCTACTGTTGTCCTTGTTCACGGATGAAGACACTGAGGCACACGGACGTTACACAGCTCGCCCAGTGCCGGCCAGGCGGTAGACTGCGGAGTGGGGAACTGGACAAGGCTCTCCGTTTCCAGAAAATAGGTTATTAACCCCTTCCTGTTCCACCTGAATGAATCTCAAGCCTTTTGTCACTCTTTGCTAGATTCAAAGGCTTTAAAAGAAAGATTCAAATTGGATCACGTGCCCAAGGTCCCCTTGGACTAAACATTTCAGTACTAGTTGGTCACTTAAAAGGAAATTAGATTGCATAAGAAGGGTGGGATGCCCTGGCCCGTGTGGCTCAGTTGGTTGGAGCATCGTCCCATGCACCGAAAGGTTATGGGTTCGATTCCTGGTCAGGGCACATACCTAGGTTGCAGGTTTGATCTCCCGGTAGGGGCATGTACCAGAAGCAATTGATCAATGCTTTCTTCTCACATCATGTTTCTCTCTCCCCACCAACCCCTGCTTCCTCTCTCTAAAATCAATAAATGTCCTTTTGGCTTTTGGCTGAGAGGAGGTGCAGATACAACTTTCTTCAGTCGTCCCAAATCTGGGTTCATCCTATACCAGCCGCCTCCACCGAGCCGCTGAAGTTCAACCCCAACGGGATCAGTCATGCACCTGAGGTGCATCGGTGAGAAGTCGGTGTCACGTCTGCCCTGGCCCCCAAGATCGGCCCCCTGGGCCTGTCTCCAAAAACGGTCGGTGATGACTTCGCCATAGCAACCGGGGACTGGAAGGGTCTGAGGATGACGGTGAAACTGACCATGCAGGACAGACAGGCCCAGACGGAGGCAGTGCCTTCCGCCTTCGGCCCTGATCATCAAAGCCCCCAAAGAACCTCCACGAGACAGAAAGAAGCAAAAAGACAGTAAGCACGGTGGAAATACCACTTCTGATGGGATTATCGACATTGCGCGACAGTTGCGGCACCGATCTTTAGCTAGAGAGCTCTCTGGAGCCATTAAAGAGGTCCTGGGGGCGGCCCAGTCTGTGGGCTGCAATGTCCAGGCCGCCCCCTCAGGACATCACAGATGACATCGGCAGTGGAGCAGGGGAGCGCTGGCTAGCTAAGAACAACAAAGGGGAATATTTCAATTAAAGATCGTTTGACAACCAAAAAATGAATGAATGAATGAATGAACAAATTGTATCCTCAGGTGAGGATTTAAAAAAAAGAAGAAAGGTGGGAATGGACAGGAAGTGGTCATTACAGTCGGCCCCTTGGGCCTCCCAACATCTTGGCACCTTTGTTCCCATGCCTGTTCTTCCAAAAGCACTCTCTGCTGACACAGTACGGCTCCACGTGCACCCACAAGTGTACACACACACACACACACACTCCCTTGTATGACTTGGTCCCATACTGCGTGCGGAGGTTCACCTCTCGGAGTCCCGGGTTCATCCTCGGTAAGACACAGAGCACAATATTTACTTCTTCACAGGACTGAGGGGGGGGCTGAATAAGTTCATGGAGGTGAGGCGCTCTGCCCTGTGTCGGACACACGGAGGAATTAACATAACAACACACAGAACAGCGTTGTTTGTGTGAGCAGCCAATGGTTGTGAAATCAGCCTCCAAACACACAGGTTTGAGTGTGGGGTTGGACGCCACTCCGGGACTTTCCAGAGGACTTTCCAAGGCGTATTCAGGGATTTATTTCCTCTCTCTTTGGTAAATGAGTAACGGAACCACGCTCCAGTGGCTGCGCTAGACCTGGGAAAGGGCAAACCCCCTCACGGGCCTTGCCTGTGGTGGAGTGGAGAACTCGGGCAAGCGGTGTGGAAGTGGGCTCTGGGGCCAGCTTGCTGGCTGGTTGTGCCTAGGTCCCTCCTCCCCTCTTGGGGCCACAGTTTCCTCAGCGTAAAATGAATATTATAATCCTCATGACACTTTTGTGAGAATCCAATGAAATAATTCATTGAAAGGGCGTATCAGACGTCCCCAGCCAACGGTTCTGATATTGATTCTGACATTCTATCACTCCGACGTGCCCGGGGCCAGGCGCTGGGGCATCGCACCGGGGAACAGCCCCACTGGGGGGGACGAGGGTTGCCTACTTTAAACAGAATGCCTCGGGATTCAGACTTCATTCACTCATTCGATAAATATTGATTTGTTCTTACTATGAAGGTAGCGACTCCTTGGCACACGCGTATGCTCAGCCCTCTCCTACTCATGGCAGACACCGTGCGTCGAACGTGGAATTGCCTGCTGAACGCAGCAGCGGCCTCGGAATCCTCTTCAACTCAGAGCCCAGGCAGCTGTGTCCGACTGGCCGGAAGAGGTTCTGCGCCTGCTCCGGACTGCCTGGAACGGGGACAAGCTCCTCGGTGGAACCAGAGAGAGGGACCAGTGAAAACACAGGTTAAGTCAACACACGCCTTTTTCATTGCCTACTTCATAAACACAGGAAAGAAAAAGGTGGGGAAAGACATGCTTTTATCTCTTAATGACCTTCTCTTCTTGCAGAGGAAAACAGAATATTGAAATGAGCTTCCTGATGCCAGATGTGGCAATGGGAGCGGAGGAGACCTGGGAGCACACCCCCGCTCCTGGGGTGCCCAAATCCGGTGGCAGGCCCGGAGAGATGGAGACAACCTGTGAGAACAGAACCCCTCAGAGCCCCTGAGACTTAAAACTTGCCTCATCCAACTGTCCTAAGTTACAGCAGGGAGGTCCTCCCAGGGAGGGGTGACTCACACGGTGTCATACCCCCCAGCCAGGACAACCACCTGTCACACTTCGTCTGTTCCTAAAATTGCTTCATGGTCGAGGAACCCAATGTACAGGGGCCTTCGTTCAAGTCCCTGCCTGCCTGCTAACTCCCTGGAAGATCGGGGGTTTGTCTCAATTCTCTGAACTTCAGGCTTCTCGCCTGCACAATAAAATCATTTATCTCTGCTTTGCTTCCTCCTCTGCCTTCTGTGAGGCAATAGCCGTGAGAATTTGTCATGTCTTGAAAGAGACGGGAGTCATGAGATGCGTTTATTGATTGCCCACTCTATTCCAGGGACAGTGTCCCGGGTGCCGGGGAGCATGGCAGACAGTCCCTGCCCTCGTATCGCTCAGAGTGTAGTAAGGGATCGGATCCTTATAGTGAATGCATCGTGTACATGGTGTACGGTTGTTAAAGGGAAAAAGCACTTATTGAAGGAAGCCAGTAGATCCTAAGCGTCTGGGAAGGCTGCTCTGAAGGCTTAAGCTGAGATCTGAAGAGAGGAAGAAGTTAGGGAAGAACATTACGGTCAGAGGAAACAGCACGTGCAAAAGCCCTGTGGTAGGGGAGCAGGTTGGAGGCACAAAGGAGGCAGAGGGAGAGGGACAGGGAGCTGGGAAGAGGTGGGAGAGGTGGGCTAGGCTCTGCAGATCACGGAGAGCTCGGATTTTCTCCTTAGAGCCATGAAAAGCCATGGAGGAAATTAGGGAGGGAGCAATGTAATCATTAGAGGCATTGAAACATTCCCTGAGCTGCTGGGTGGAGGAGACCATGCAAGGGGGGCTTCAAAGAGGC